TTTAAGTTAGTTATGAATTCAAAAACTCTTCTAAAATCCATTATATAAGGTATTAGTAGTTATGATTAATGAATGTTAACAAATATTAATCGTGATGCAGGTTTACTTGATGTTGTCCTCTATGTGTAATCCTGTATTCTTTGCTAATGACTGAGGTAGCTCTGGAGTCATGGCTCTGGTTTCATGAACACATTCCTGAGTGAGAGGCCTTGTCTTGCTTTCCCCCTATAATGAGGGCTTGTCATGAGCTTTTACCCTTCTTGTTCTTGAAGTCCTAGTTCAGATATCATTTTGTTATCTCCTTATGAGTGGAGTTGTGTCCTCTAAAATGTGGCAAGTTGAGGGCTAGTGAGAAGGCTCCTCACTTAAAGGTGCTTGCCTCCAAGTCTGATGACCTGAGTTCTATCATAGGACTCACATCTTGGAGGAAGAGAATCAATGCCTAGAAGCTGCACTCTGAACGTCATACAGACACCATGGCATGCAAGGGCGCACACACGTGCACATACACACACACACACACACACACACACACACACAAATAAACAAATACGCAAAATAAATGTAAAGGTTACAAGTTGAAGGGCAACCCCAATGTGATTGTGTTTAGAAAATTAAGGATGTCAAATGACATTGTAATGGCAGAGCTCTAATCCAGGAGGATTGGTGTCATTACAAGAAGAGGAGGGAAGGGGAATTGTGGTTAGTATGTAAAATAAAATTCAAAAAAACTTTTAAATAAAAATGTAGCTTTTGAAAAACAAAAGTAAGAATGAAGAGAAGAAAGAAGGAGGAGGAGGAAAAGGAGGAAGAGGAGGAGAAGGAGAAGGAAAAAAGAGGAGGAGGAGGAGGAGAAAGAGGAGGAGGAGGAGGAGGAGGAAGAGGAGGAGGAGGAGGAGGAGGAGGAGAAGAAGAAGAAGAAGAAGAAGAAGAAGAAGAAGAAGAAGAAGAAGAAGAAGAGAAAGAGAAACACCAGGGACATTCATACATAAGGGAGAGTCCAGGAGTCTGGTAAGGACACAGCGGTCTTCAAGCCAAAAGAAGTCTGGAACAAGGAACAAGCTGGCGCCTTGCTCCTAAACTTCCAGATCCCAGAACTGTGAGAAAATAAAGTTTTGTTCAAGTTCTCCTAGTGGTCAGAACAGACTACTTCTGGTCCTGCTTTAAAAAATATTTTTCTAAAGAAGCCCAAGACTTAATTTCTTATGGGAAATCTGATTTTAAATTGGCATCCACTACAAATTTCTATAAAACACATTAGGTCAAATTGACAGCAAGAACCAATGAAGGAAAGAGCGGAAAGGAGGAGAGGAGGGCATATGGTGGTCTAAGGCTAAAGCAGCAGGGTCTGCCCTTCTCGGGATCTGCAGAGTCACACTTCAGGAGAGCCTGGGACTCTGCACAGTGTGACCCCTTTGCTTTCTCTCACTCAGCTGTGTCCCCACACCCCTTTATCTCTGTACATTTTTATTTCATTTTAAGACTGCCACACACAAAAGTGTTTTTTAAAATATATGTTGTTTTAGGTCCAAACAAGTGGAATATAGAAAAAAGGATGACACTCAGGCATATAGGTTTCTACTATCAGAATTAAATAGATTTTTTTTTAAAAAAAATTAACTATATCCAACAGTAAAATCGATGAATCATCCTTTATCACATATATATGCCCATATTAGGATGGGAGAGAAAATAGAATTGAAGACACATTTTTTTGAATATATGGCACATGCTATAAATTTCGGAATAAAAAAAATTGTAGTTGGGATGGTGAGATGGCCCAGCAGTTAAAGGTGATTGCCACCAGTCTGCCAACCTGAGTTTCATCCCAGAAACCCACATGGTAGAAGGAAAGAACCCACCCCCACAAGTTGTCCTTGACAACCACCCGTACAAACATACCCATACACATATACACAGAGAAGCACATGTAAAATAAATAAATGTAAAAAAATCGCAGCTAACATGTATTGAGTGTCTGAGTATCACCGCATAAGGTAATGTACTATCCAAAGAACCAGAGGAGGAAAAGGCAAAATCCAGAAAACATAAATCATGACTCAAGGAAGGCTATAGAGATTTTAAAGAATTCTAAAACCTTTGCAACTTTCTAATTCTGGTTTTAGTTTGTATCATAGCTGTAAGTCTCTCGAGAGAAGAAAGTCTGTGTGATGGTGGTCACTGGCGTAGAGGAAGGGAAACTGTGCTAACTTTATTCCTGGCTGTACTATCACAGCGGTCTAAGGGTGACTCCAGGGAGAAAAATCCTCAAGAGAGATAATAAATGGAGGCAGGAGAAAAAAGAGAGAGAGAGAGAGATGAAGGGGCAGAAGCTAAGGATCACGTGGGTCTGCAGCGGAAATGCGTGTGTCTTCAGTTTGGATGAAAATGAAAATGAAATCCTCTGGGAGCTTCAGAAAGAGCTGAACCATAGTTGTTTTTAATATGTCAGTGAGCTAAACAGAGCTTTCTTATTCACTGCCACGTTTCTGCTTATTCCTAAGATCTGCTCTCTTTCCTCCAGAACTCTTTTAGGCTGGAGGCTAATCCTTTGTGGACTTCTGATCCTGGAAATAAAAAGCCCCTTTTATCTTGACTCTATTTCTTTCACTTATACTTGTGGAACGTGACAGAAATCTTCTGTAATGGTGAGATGAGGGCTGTGTGTTTTGAGGTGTGCACAGTGAAGAATTATCCCATGTTTGCCTGAAGGAAAATTGAGAATCTTGAACTTTGGAGCCTCCACAACAGCACAATGGTAGGAGGTACTTAGTTAGGGATCTGAGCTCATTAGCATAGAAGTTAGGGACTGGATGACTCTTTCTTGACTTCTGTTACAATGTCACACAGCACCTGGACTAGAAACAAAAGGCACAGAGGACAAATGTGTGCTGACATCGTATCTGATAAAGTGGGGGTAGAGGCTTAAATAGCTTTTAGTTCTCTTTTCTGTGCTCGCCCTACTTTCCCCGGACTGAACACCTCAAATTGTGTTTCTCAGGCACCGGAGAAATGTGAGGTAGGGTGGAACCTGATTCCCATCTTGGACATGGTGAAGGTGTGGGGCGTGAGAAAAATGAAGGCAAGCCAATGGAAGGAGGTTGTCACACTAGACCCCAGGCCTGCTGCTGAAGTGAAGAACGATTAGTCTCACTCAAAAGCTGTTCAGATGACATTCTGAGAAGTTCTGAAGTGTACAAAGACGAGGATGTTATGCACCAAAAAGAAGTCTTAAGCATTTTTCATTTCTCCATTATAACTGAGTCCTAAAATTTTATCTTGAGGTTAATTTGATTATTTCACAATAACAGGAAATCACTTAGAGAATTATCTTTTCCATTGAAAATAGAAATCTATGTTAAAAAAAAAACACAGGACTTTTATGTTATATATAGTTTATAACATATTTTTGAGTATGCTATTCATAAAAAAACTTGGAAAGAAGATAAGGATTGGGATTATATGTAATTACACAAATGTCTACATCTATAAATGTAAGTATAGACCCAAATATCTATCCTTTTATGCTATTTGCATTGGATGAATATGCTTCTCATTAGAAATATACTTCAAAGTCCAAAGTTCAACATGGTGGACATGAAAGGCTGTCTTAACAAAGTCCATATACTTTTGTTTTAAAAACTGTTAATTTTTGAAGGGGCAGATTATTCATTTCAATAATTCTAGTGAGCATTTGCAAGAGTCAGAGAATAATTTGTAATAGATTGGATTAAAAGGGTCAGCGACCTAACCCAACACTCAATAGCTCTGGGTTGAAGGAAATGTGTCCTCTAAAATATTGAAGTGATAGTCTGGCTTTAAATCAGTTTGAACTTGAACTTATTTTTTAAAAAATAAAAATTGGGACATACATTTTTAATAGCCCAGGAAAAATCTTGTACTGTAGGGAGTGGACATGTAAGGTAAATATTAAAATGCAGACACAGGGACACTACCGTCATCAGGTTAACCTGTATTCATTTTCTAATTCTATGGAAGTTCCACGAGTATTTTGAACTCTTCAATATTTTTGTGTGTTTCAATTTAAAGGCAACAGATAATTCAGGACACGTGTTCTTCAGCTGAAGGTATGCAGTAAATCCCCTTTGGTGTCGGTTCACTTTTAACCACACATATTCCCCAGCTCTTATCCAGACCCTACAGTACAAGATCTGTTATTGCTGCATCATGTTTCCCAGATCTTAAGTACAGGATCTGTTATTCTTATATTATGTTTCTACCTAGAAGCACAAGTTGCTGTTCATAAGAATTTTCATAATCAGAAAGAGTTCCTTATCAATTGATAACATTAAAATTAAAACTAGTTTCAAAATCAGTGCATAACAACTTTCAGGTCTCAATGAAGGGGTATCATTGTCAGCCCAAGCCTTTCTGCACAAAATAATTAGATAAAAACAAAAACAAAATCCAGTTTATCTTGATAACACTTGCTTAACTATACCAAGCCTCCTAATTTAATTGTTAATTGCTACTGCATATAGAATAAGAATTTTACTTTTCCTATATGGCTATTCCTGAGATTTCTATTCTGAACGTCTTCCTTACATTTTTTGGAAGCACTATTTAGTGATTTCCAAGCCTCCATAGGTTCTTTTTTTAACTTTTCTATTCTTACTCATTATTTTTGCTTGCCACCAGGCAAATCTAGTAATAGAAAACAATGCAAGTTAAAAATATTGTCTTGAGAGGCCTATCAAAACTTGTCTTCTGCATGTATTTTTGGGGGTGGTGGGAGTGATGCAGAATAGCTCCCAGGTTTTTCTGTTGCTGAAATAACACTGTAAATCTCTTCCTACCCTTAACTCTTCAGTATTTCTGGTCTTGCACACAAGACAACTGTGAACTTACACGTCTTCTTAGAAATATCAGGCTTCCTTTGGAAAATAGGCGCTTAGGAAACGTTCACCCATCTGAGTTCACACATTGGTGCGTTTTCCAGGCTACGCGAGGCAGACTGAGTGAATCAGAAAATTTCTTACCTCCGGAGGGCCGTAAGACAATGCATATCACCAGTAAAGCAAGCGCAGCCAAAGTGGCAACTCCGAAGACAGTTTTCAGCCATGTCTACATAGAATACAGAAAATTAGACACGAGCTTAGTTCCTACTAAGGAATGGTAAGATTTCTGTCGATCCCTAGCTCCTACCTCTCCTCCCCTACAAAGCTTGTGATTGTATTCCACTGATCTGGCGGTAATTGCTGGAGCCTTTCCAGTTCTGCTAAAACAAATGTTTCTACAGCATATTCTGAGCCACTTCCCAATCCTAACACACACCGGGAAGCAACACTCACACACAAATCCTCTAAACAATAGAACACTCTGACAGTACTCAGCTCGTGCTGCCCCTGCGTCGTGATAATCCCCGGGACCACACGCACTAACCTTCATTTCTCCAGATGTTTTTGAAAGTTAGCTGATTCTCACTGCACAGCGTGGGTCACTGCATCTGTGGAAACCGTTGAAAAGAAGCAAGTCCGTCTTCCAGTTGGAAGCTGAAGTCAGGACATGAGCTTTTTTTTTTTTTTTTTTTTTTTTTCCTTTCCACGGACTTTTGACTACTGTGCCAAATTTCGAAAGATTTCTGTAAAATTAGAAACAGATTTTGGGGGCGTTCTTGGCCTTTAAATGAACTACGAGTGGCTCAAGGGAGGCTTTATAGCCCTCCCACCCTTGTAAACTCTACACCAGCCTCTGCTTATGTTGTCACCCAGAGGTTGTTGTATTTCACTTTTTTTGGTGTTCAGGTTTGTGTTCATTTTCTCCGAGAAGTCCCTCAAGTCACTTTGGTAACCCTCTTTTCCAGACTCCTCCCATTTGAAGCGCAGAGGAGGAATTTCAAATAAAGAAACTTTCTGATACGAGCATCACACATTTCTGGTTTTTAGGAAGGGATGGAAGGGAAGAACATTGGAGCCAAAAGCGGCTCTGTGAGAAGAACACGGTGTAACTGCACACTTTCCTCCTCGGAGCCGATGAGGTGCAGCAGACAGAAATGTTTTTCTTTCAGCAAAATTTCTTTGTCCATATAGCACCATATGCACTTTCAGTAAATACAGAAGTTTAAAAATTCAACTGTCTAAACCCACGGCTGCTTTCCTTTAAAGAAATGAAGCGCCATCTGTCGAAATGTAGTATGGGTTAGGTGTGTTTGCACAGGCTAGAAAGATGGAAAGACCAGTGGGAATAATTTACCAGCAGACCTTTGGAAGAATGGAAACGGCTTTACAAGAGTGATATTTTTGCTTTGCTCTCAGAATATCTTCTGAGAAAGGAGAACATTTAGTAATTATAAAGACCTTAAAATACATCTTAAAAAGGCAAGTGAAAAAGAGTAGTCATGTGTACCCCATTGTGGCCAAGTCCACATACTTCAAAGTGATCGGTCATCTTGGCAGATCAGGAAGATGACTGCTGGAATTCACACACACACACACACACACACACACACACACACACACACACACACTTTTTTGGACATTCTTTCTGGATGGGAGCAATTCACTAGGGCAGAGTCTCTGTTTCCCCACGGATACAGTTTCTGAAGTAAGCTATCTTCGGTTTTCCCCCGATGGCTTTCTTCAGAAGTTTGCGGCGTCTTTTGCCTGACTATGCTCAACTTCAGGCTGCTCTTTCGTGAACTGTTTATGGAAAGTAATGAGGAAGCATTACTGGAATATGGTGCTGTTTGCCTTAGTTGACTGCTCTGATTACCACAGGAAGCTGTCTCCACCATAAACCAGGACAGTGGCTTGTGAACTTCCTCTCAGACATTCTCCAGACAGCCATCCCCGAATTCCAGCCTCATGAAAGGTCTATTAAGGAAAATGAGTCATTAGCACGAACTGGCAGAGAAGTGCACTTACAGCCCACAGCCGCTGTGGGTTCCCGTTCCCTTTGCAGCTAGTGAGTTCTCACTTAAGAAATGGAAGCAGTCACGAGAGTCATAGGGGTGCTGTGCACTTACAGGTATCTCCATGTGTCTTGATCGTGAGGCCTCAGTCCAAGGTAAAACCACCAGCCTGGTGCCAAATGAATGGCCCTCAAGTGGATCTTCTTAGATTGGTTGTTTTCTTTGGAACATCCGCCTAATACTTTCTCAGAAATTCTGTCTCAGCCTGCCAAACCCCCACAAGTCAACAAGTACTTTGTAGTGAGTGATTCCCAAGACCTCCTTTTCTCGACAGAAACTGTCTGCAATAAACGATGGAGGTATAATTAAAATGCATCCTGCTAGCTTTAGCAATTAAAGACACCGTCATATGACTGGGCCGACTAGCACTGTGGACTCTAGAAATGAGCGGAGGATTTATCTTGAGGACTCTCAGAGACTCGCTGAAGACATCAGAGAGCCTTTAAGAAGAAACAGTTAAGTTGGAAGTGTTAGTGAGGGGGAAAATGATAAAGATGAATACACATTCTCTTTCTGTTTGTGTTTTCCTTAGGAAGTTGGTTTAATCAAACCCTAACATCTGGAAACTTATTAACTGTTTGAACTGTTTAAAATAGAATACAACTGAGTGCAGAAGGAAAGATGGGCGCTTGCATCTAATTTCATAAGTTAGGACTAAATTTCTCATAGCAGAATTACAGATAGATACATGATCTAGCTTGTATCCAGGCAATGGTTTCCAAATACTTGGACTTTTCACCATTAAAGCAACTTTACCCTCTTCTCTCTTTTGGAGTCAATATAGAAATACATTTAATAAGGTGTCTGATTTTCTTTCTTTTTCCTCCACCAAGGAAACTAACTTTATAAAAAAAAAATGCACAGTTATCATCTAGTTAGTTCTTGTTGCTGGGAAAACAGAGACAAAGATAACTGTGAGCAGGTCTGTTTCACCGAGGAACATATTCTCGTACACGTATGGAAGGTGCATCTCTGTTTCTTTTTCCTTTCTGGAGCTCTTGTAAGCATAGCAGGCTGGAGCTGTGCTTGGTAGGAGTACCCTGGAGACCTATGACAGGGGACAGAAGGGACACATGACACAGGCATGCCATCCTCCAGTGAAATGGTGCCATTTGTCAGCATGAAAACTTTTCTCATCAAACGACTCTGTATCTATTGAAATTATACAGAAACAGACAGAATGGCATTGTTCCATTAAAACTCAAAGGCATGAATTAGGACAATAGAGATGATGAGCTGCCTCTGTCAAAGCAGGGGTCTTGTAAGGTTTAGTTTGAAATACGATGATATTCTAGTAAGTTACAAACGCACCTTGCTAGAGCTATTTACTAACAAATATTGGTTGTTTTCCTAAATAGCTCTGCTATAGTTTTGAGCTCAAGTGGCCTTAAGAGGCTCTTGTATTGAAGGGTTGATCCTTAGCTGTTGGAACTGAAGAGAGGTGTTGAAAACGCTGGAAGTTTAAGCTGTACTGAAGAAGTTAGGCCAGTAGGAATGTGTCATTGAAGATATACAGGATCCTTGGTCCATTCCTGTCTCTTTTGGCCTCCCAGGTATCAGGAGGTTAAGCAAGTTTGTGGTACCACCCTTCTGCCATAATGTTTTGCTCACCACTTTGGATCTTCAGAGGTAATGACCACTTATTCCCCACTGTAAACACGCTGCTTTAATATATAATTTCACTTTGCCTGTGTCTAAACTCATTTACTGATTATAAAACAACATCAAGATTAAAAATTAGATAAATTACTCATCATTCTAATAGGGCATGGTTTGAAAATGTTACATTGATTCTATCTGGGACTTCTCTGATTGCTTCTAAAGTAATAGTGATTATTTGAATTAATGAATATACCACGGTTTTCTCTGGGACACAACATAAGTATGTCATGGCATTTTTAAGATGTTAAACATAACCAATACTTTCAATGTTAAAACAATAGTTTAGTTTTAAACCACATCCCTGGTCTGCATCATCATTGTATGTTTCTCAAAAGAACACAGTCTCACTCTACAAACACCATGGACAGAGTTCTGTTCGAACTGGAGCCTGGTCATCAGAGAAATAGACATTTTCTGGGGGCTATGAGATCTCTCTTCAAATACTTGCGTAATTTAAGGAATTTGTCAGATTATCATCAAGGATTTCTCAGATCCAAGCAAGAATGTGTCCTGACATCTTGAGAGCATATAATAGCTGTCACACAGTTAGAGATCTGGAGGAAGTGGTGTGACATAGTGTGATGGGAGAGGATATCGCTTAAACTGCCTTTAAGATCTAATCTAATTTCTAAAATTATGATTTTGATGTAAGGAAGAATATGAAGAAACATGTCTTTCAGTTTATAATTGGTACCGACCACCTTCCCAAATGTTATAATTAAATACCAGGGGTTCATTATCCTATTGCAATTAAAATGAGTTCTGGAAGCAGTGGGAGTTATCTGTTGAGTTAGAATTACAAAGAAAATAATTTCCCTCTATGTTGCAGACTCAGAAGATAAACAATGTTTCAATGAAATTAGTGTTGTATTTTGTTTTTTGGGACGCAGCCTATAGGCCAGGATAGCCTCACATACCTGATCTTTCAAACTCTGATTCTTGAAGGAGCTGGGACCACAAGAATTTGCCCTGACTGTCTTTAATGGTATTTGAAATACAACTCCTTCACAATGGTTCATCCATGGGAAGATTAATCAGCCAGTATAAATTTATACCTACAGTACTTTAGATCAGAGAATATACTCTTTCACCAGTTTATGGAAACCATGAAGAGCAGTGTTCATTGAACACTTTCCAGGGCCTGACACTTTTTCGTTGTTGTTGTTGTTGTTTCGAGACAGGGTTTCTCTTTAGCTTTGGAGCCTGTCCTGGAACTAGCTCTTGTAGACCAGGCTGGCCTCAAACTCACTTTTATAAGCATTTTACTATCGCCATCTCATTCCACCCTCAGATCTTACTGCCTTTATTAATAGTTACACATGAGAGAGCACAGGGACATGGGAAACTTAAGCAGCTTTTGAAAGTTACACAACTTGGTGTAGACGGGACACAAAACCATGTACTCTGTAAGACAATTGACTGATCCATGCTAAGGTTTAGCTGGAGAGATTTTTGGGGTACATGACTGTGATGTGTAATTAAGACTAGACCTGGAAGATGAATAAAAACAGAAGGAAGGTTTTTTTCTTTCTTTTTTTTAAAATTTATTTATTTATTAAAGATTTCTGTCTCTTCCCCGCCAACGCCTCCCATTTCCCTACCCCTCCCCCAACCAAGTCCCCCTCCCTCCTCAGCCCGAAGAGCAATCAGGGTTCCCTGCCCTGTGGGAAGTCCAAGGAACCCCCACCTCCATCCAGTTCTAGTAAGGTGAGCATCCAAACTGTCTAGGCTCCTACAAAGCCAGTACATGCAGTAGGATCAGAAACCCATTGCCATTGTTCTTGAGTTCTCAGTAGTCCTCATTGTATGCTATGTTCAGCAAGTCCGGTTTTATCCCAGGCTTTTTCAGACTTAGGCCAGCTGGCCTTGGTGAGTTAGAAGGAAGGTTTTGGATGAGTTGGTCAACTGGAAAT